TTTTTCCCCTCCCCCCCCCCCCCCCCCCAAACCTGTCCCCCCCCCCCCCCCCCCCGCCGCCCCCATCCAACCCACCGGGCGCCTTCATCCAGTCCAGCAGCTGGCTGACGGTGACGAACCAGGTATTGGGCTTGTCGGTGGCGTACTCCATGAAGCGCAGGAAGCCCTGGGAGTTGTTCTGCAGGGCAGGGGACGAGAAGGCGGGGCGAGGGTGTGTGTGGTGTGGTGTGGGATGTGTGGTGGTGTGTGGGGGACACATCCAAGGCTTGCGTCGGCGGCAAAGGCCACAAGATTGCGTGCGTGTGTAGGCAGGCACAGGCTCGCCGCGGAACGAGGCGGCAGCAGGCGGGCCCGGCCAGCGGCGGGCTGCCTGGCGGGGGCACGTACGTAAGTGAACCAGGGGGCGTGCAGGAAGATGGGGAAGGGGGCGCGGTTGCCCTCATAGGCGGCATCAAAGGAGGTCTTGAGCAGCTCATACAGCTGGTCCTGCGGGGCGGCAGCGGGGCGGGCGTGTTTGGTTACTCTTTTTGCTTTAAACCAGCTTGAACTTGGGAGGGGTAGGCAGGCGGGCGGGCAGCGACAGGGGCCAAGGGGCGTGCGTGGCAGGTGGTGGGCGGAGGGCGGGAGGGGCCGCACGCTTGCCGGCCGCGCTGCGCATCCTGCACCGCGACTCAGCTGTACTGGCAGTACTGCATGTATTTCATGTACTGTCGGTACTGCATGTACCGCAGCTCACCGAGGAGGCCGCCTCTGGATCCATGGTGAACCCATTCTCGCCCTCCGCACTGGGCAGCATCCAGACGGGCACCTCCCACAGGCCCGCGTGCCGCTCGTCGGTGGAGCAGCTCATCTCGGTGTTGCCGGGCCAGCCGCAGTCCTGTGGGGGGCCGGGGAGCGAGGTGTGGTTTGTGCGTGTGTGCATGTGTGTGTGTCGGTGTGGGCAAGCGCGGGGGCATGGCAGCAGGGAGGGGGGCTGCAGAGGTGGCGCCCCGGGATACCCCACCCCCTTGGGCCCCGGCTGCCACCTGGGCCCCGCAGCCCCGGGTGCACCCAAGCCGCCAGCCCGGTGCTCCACGAGGGTACGTGCTTGCAGGCAGGCCCCGCCAGCCCATCCCAGCCCAGCCCCACCTGCGGGACGCCTGCGTCCATGGTGTACGGGAAGGTGCGCTGGGCCCAGGAGGGGGAGGTCTCCGTGTTGGAGGGCTCCATGATGGAGGAGTCGTACTGGAAGCCAGCCTCCTGCAGTACGCTGCGGAACTGCTCGTTGTGCACCAGGTAGGGGGCTGCAGGTGGTGGTGTGGGGGGTGTGTGGGGAGGGGGCAGGAAGGAGGGGCGTAAGTAAGGTGTGCGTGCAAGGGGCGTTGGTTGTGATGTGGTGATGGCTGGTGTGGGCTGCGTGTGCCACTCTGGGTGATTGACTCTTCCGAGGGTGGAGCGAGGAGGCGGCGATGTGAGGGCAGCTGAGGCAGGCAGCGGGACCCCGACCAGGGCAGCTGCACGGCTGAAAGGGGGGGGGCTGCCCCCGCCACTCACCGCGGAAGCCCTTGAGCTTGTCTGCCGGCACCTTGCACTCCTCCACCAAATACTCCCTGATGCCCTCCACCTCGGCTGCAGGCAGGCAGGCAGGCGGCAGGTAGGAGGGCGGCGGGAGGTGAGCAGGTGGGGGGGCAAGGGGGGCCAGCCGGCAGCCGGCAGGGAGGTGAACAAGTCCCAGGAGCGGCTGCGGGACATGCCGCTGCCGGCCGTGCCTCCCGCCAGCCTCTCCGGCCACAGAGCTGCCGCTGCCCACCCCGCCGGCCGTCCCATCCCACAACACGCCCCACCCACCCACCCACCCTTCATCTCGTCAACCGTCAGGTTGGCAAACATGTACGAGTGGTTGACGGTGTGGCCGGCAATCTCTGCAGGTTTATTTTAGGAAGCACAGAGCCAGGGTACTGTGAGGGAAGTGATGGGGACCCAGCGGGCGGGCACGACAGCAGCAGCAGGGTCAGGCTGGAGGGGGCCAGGGTGACCCTGCCCCCGCCCTTGTACGGTACGTACGGTACAGGCGCCCTCGGCAGCCAGCCCAACCCGGTATCCAGCTGCCCTGCCACCCACCCACCCCGCGCCGCCGCGCGCCCACCCGCCCACCCACCGTGGTTGTCCTTGATCAGCTGCTGCACGAAGGTGCAGTTGGACTTGTTCTTGATGGCGAACCAGGTGGCGGGCACGTTGCAGCCGTTCTTGTTGACGAAGCCGTCCGTCACGGTGCGCACCACGCGGTCCTGCAGCGTGTTGACCGAGTCGTCGTGCTGCACAGGCGCAGGGGGTGGTGGCACAGGGGGTGTGGGGGGGTGTGAGGGGCGTGTGCGGGTGCCGCTGTGTGTGAAGAGAGCTTGTGCGTGCAGCAGGCGAGCGGCCAAAGGCTGGGCGCAGCCGACGCGGCGGGCGTCGCCCAGCCCTGCCTGCATCCTGTGCCCAGGCCTCACCGTGATCAGCACAAACATGGGCGTGTCGTTGCGGGACAGGCCGCCCGGGGCGCTTGTGGAGGCGCACTGGCAGTCGGGCGCAGCGCAGGTGGTTGCGTCGCAGCTGTAGGCGGCGGCTGCTACGGAGGGCGGGCGCGGGGCAGGCGCAAGCACGGGGCCGATGCGTCAGACGATGCATGGACGCCAAAACACGCAGTTGATCTGGCAAGCGCAGCAGGCAAAGAAACTGGCCGAGCAGGCGAGGGCAGGGGCGCACCCGCGGCCGAGGCGCCGGCGAGCAGCAGCGCTGCCAGCAGCGCAAGGTGGGGGCGCATGCCGGTGGCAGCAATGGCGCCCTGCCCAGTGAGTCGCCCTTGTGATGCCTGCAGCGGCGCAATGCGGATAGTAGGGTGAGAGGCCGGTTGCAGCATGCGGAGCGAGATGCCGCAACTGCCAAGGACCATATGGGCAGCCTGCAGGCTGTAACAAGCGCCCACAGGCTGCTGGAGGTCCCTCCTGTGCTGGAGAATGCGGTTGGTTGGGCACACGCTGCGGCAGCGATCTGTGTGCCATGCAAGATAACTACCTTAGTTACAGCGCTCGCTAGGTCACTCAATGCTGGGATGGAAGCAACGGAGCGAGCGAAGGGACGCAACGCGCCAGGAGGAGGCGCATCATGATTCTGCTGTGTTGAGCGCTGCGCTGCGCCGTGCCGCAAAGCGCCGCCAGCTTCGCATGGTACAGGAAGGGCGCCAACAAAAGCCAATACAGCGCCCAACATTCTTCTTGATGCTGTAGGTGATGTGATACATCACCACAAGTGCTCGCTACGCTTACAACTGCCGCCACACAGCGGCGGGGAAAAACAGGCGCCACACAGCGGCGGGAAGAAACAAGAAAAGAAACGAAACGCCAGAGCAAAGGAATTAAGGAAGAGGGTGGGCAGTGTGTATGGGGTGCGGCATGGCGTGGCAGCCCAGCCAGCTACGAGGCTGGGCTGCACCAGAGGCGCCGGCAGCATTGGACAGCGGCGAGGGGAGAGCCTGGCTAGGAAGGAGGGGCAGAGCAGCCAAGGCGCACATTCCGGCCTGTGCAGCAGG